ACACAGACATTGTCCCCTTTAGCAGTCATTGCCTTCTGAAAGAGGTGGAAGTCCAGGTCATCCTGCCAGCAGTTCCCAGGCTGGTTCTGGTTGGGGAAGCTGCCATCAAAAGGAGCAGTCTTATAGGTTTTTTTTTTTTTTTTTTTTTTTTTTGAGACAGAGTCTCGCTCTGTCATCCAGGCTGGAGTGCAATGGCATAATCTCGGCTCACTGCAACCTCCACCTCGCAGGTTCAAACAATTCTCCCACCTCAGCCTCCCGAATAGCTGGGGCTACAGGCACCTGCCAGCATGCCCAGCTAACTTTTGTATTTTTGTAGAGACAGGGTTTCACTATGTTGGCCAGACTGCATGACCTCAGGTGATCTGCCCACCTCATCCTCCCAAAGTGCTGGGATTACAGGTGTGAGCCACCATGCCCAGCTGTTTTTGTGTTTCTTGATTTTTTTTTTTTTTTTTGGAGACAGGTTCTCATTGTGTTGCTCAGACTGCTGTGCAGTGGTACGATCATGGCTCACTGCAGCCTCAACTTCTTGGGATTCAGTGATACTTCTGCCTCAGCTTCCCAGGTAGCTGGGATTATAGGTGTGTGCCACACATTTTTTTTTGTATTTTTAGTAGAGATGGGGTTTCACCATGTTGGCCAGGCTGGTCTCAAACTCCTGACTTCAGGGGATCCGCCCGCCTTGGCCTCCCAAAGTGCCGGGATTATAGGCATGAACCACCATGCTCTTAAAGAAACCATTGATAACTCAGCAAAGATGCCAGTGTCTGACAGAACTGCTCAAATTTCTATGATGAGCTTATTTTGAAGTCTTGATGACTGGGATCCTTGGGACAGCAGAGATTTGTGTTTGCTGTGAGCATCAAGACTCATGGATCTGGTCCTCCCTATGATATCCCTCCATTGACCCCAGTCCTGGGGCACAGTCACACCTACAAGTTATGCCCTTGTAGATCTCACCAAACTCCCCCAAACGCAAACACAATGAGCAGGGCAAAGAAGAGCAGCGACTGAGGTTAATGGTCAGGGTCAGCAGGGACCAGGGGCCAAAGGGTTAGTGCCAGAAGGTAGAAGTGATTCTCCTGAGTCCTGATTTGGAAGCTGAGTTATGACTCAGGAAATTTATTGCCCCAGGGTCTTTTAACAAGAAGCGATCTATCTTCCCAGGCAGAACTTCCATTACTGGTGACAGGTGCCTGGAGCCAGCTTATTAAAAACCATCATTTCAACCCCCAAAGCGAAGGCCCCACAGTGTGTTGGAATAGAATGTTAATTTCTAGCTCCATATCATAATTTAGGACGTGGGGAGATATTATGAGGCATTTTAAAATTCAAGAGGAAGGAAACTTGGTGCTATTTCTGCACTCTGAGCCCAGGGAGCATTAGGATCTTTATTTCACAGGTCTCACTCCCCTTTACCAGCAGGTTAATACAACACGGCTCTGCCTGCTGCGGTGGGCTGGTCCTGCTCTGGCTCTGCCCTGGCCCAAGATAGAACTTGCCTTATTGCTCAGCAGCTGTGGCAGAATGGAATGAGCCCTGGACTTTGAGCCAACGGGTCGGATTCAAGTACTGCTGTGGTCTAGGGAAAAAGCCCTCTTACATTTGTATGACGCCTTTTCATTTTTCAAGTACTTGTGTACTTCACATCTTTTATCTCATGTATGGTGAGGTATGGGGAGAGGGAAAGAATGTCCGTTTTACAGAAAGCGTAAATGGATATCTTGGTGGCAGTTTCTTGTTATTGGAGGTGAGAGGTGTTCCCCTCATTGGCTTTTATTTATTTTTTATTTTATTTTATTTTGTTTGAGATGTGGTCTTGCTCAGTCACCAAGGCTGGCATACAGCGGCACAATCACCACTCACTGCAACCTTGAACTCCCAGGCTCAAGCAATCCTCCCACCTCCACCTTTGGAGTAGCTGGGACTGACTACAAGTGCATACCACCATGCTAGGCTAATTTTTTGTAGGGTTTCCCTATGTTACCCAGGCTGGTCTCAAACTCCTGTGTTCAAGTGATCCACCCACTTCAGCCTTCCAAAGTGCTAGGATTGTAGGCGTGAGCCACTGCTCCTGGGCCCCTCATTGGCTTTTGTCTCCAAATCTTTCTTATGCAGCTTTGAAAATAGCTCTGAGAAATTTGGATGGGAGGAAGAGGAGGTGTTGGGGAGACTGTTCGTGGAGATCTCTCAGGGATGAGCCAGTTTTTCTGCCTCCACAGAGCTTCTCTACCTGCGTGGTCGCCCAGGGGAACTTCTTGGCTGAATTATTCAAATTGTTAGTGAACTTTCTGTGTCACACAGGCCAGGGTGTGCTTAGGCACAGTAAAAGGGAGATCTAAGCAAATGATATGAATGGTCAGGTCAATAATTGGCCACACAATTGAACAAAGTACATCTTGTAGCACGTTGGTAGATATCCCATTGAAAATGCTTGGTATGGAAGCATGGGAAATGGGGAAGTTGGTTACTTAGACATGACAATGGCAGAGATCCCCCTTAGGTGTGAGGTTGAAGGATAATTTATAGCTGCATCAGAGCAAAATATTCATGGTTTTATGTTTTGATTTCTATCTTAATGATCTGCATGCATTTGACATGGTTGCCATGGAATGTCAGATGTTTCACAATGTATGTGGATGGTTTATGCTCTTTGACAATTTATAACAGTTAAATAAAATTGCCCTAAAAAGTCTTGTCCTCATGGGAATTTGGGGAGCACATGCTATGTCCCTCTTCCTGTCCCTCCTTACCCTGGCAGTCTACCTGATTATTTTCTTCAACTTCTTCTCCCCTTTATAAAATATTTGGATAAGGAACACAAACTCATCTAAATTTCCAGTTGTTTTAATATCTCAGTGATCTGTAGGAAAATAGGGCCTGTGTGACTAATTGAATTTTTCACCTAGATGTCTGGTGCCATGTGGTCTGAGGCTTGGGAGAGCTGAAAAGTTGGTTGTCAGGGGCCCTTGTGGCGTATGTGTACAGGTGACAATTAAAACCAGTGTTGGACTGGGCACAGTGGCTCATACCTGTAATCTCAACACTTCGGAAGGCAGAGGTGGGTGGATCACTTGAGGTCAGGAGTTGGCTATCAGACTGGCCAACATGGTGAAACCCTGTCACTACTGAAAATACAAAAATTAGCTGGGCTTGGTGGCACACACCTGTAATCCCAGTTACTCAGGAGGCTGAGGCAGGAGAATCGCTTGAGCCAGGGAGTCGGGGGTCGTAATGAGCCAATATTGCGCCACTGCACTCCAGCCTGGCAACAGAGCAAGACTCCGTCTAAAAACAAACATACAAACAAACCAAACCGCACACACACACACACACACAAATAAATAAAATCAGTTTTGCTTCATTCCCAGCTTGGCCCAAGGTGGGGCTCACTCTGTCTATAAGGGCTTTGGACCTAAGGATCAGCAGTCTGCCTTCCTAATGCTCTTTCTTTGAACAATAACCCATGGCTTTAAAACAAAGGATTCCCCATTACTGTGTAAAGCTACAAGGTACTTCCCAGAGGAGTGAGTGGCTCCTGCAACCCAGGTGTGAGTAATCAGAGACTGTTGTTTCGTTTCAGAGATATGATTTGGTTGATAGATGCAAGCCCTTTCTCAATAAAAACATTTTATTTGTCCCCGAGGTTTCCTTGGAAGCATATCAATATGCCCCATATACTATTTTTACTTTGAATGTTTCCATGGCCCAGAATCATTTTTGGCATAGCTGTTAGGTATAAGTGTGACTCTGGGCTGAGATAACTTCCTCCAACTTGGCAAGCGTCTTTCTTTCCTTCCTTCCTTCCTTCCTTCCTTCCTT